GCCGTTGAAGGGCCATCATTGTTCAGCGTGGGCTCGCAATTACCTCTGATGGGCATATGCCGTGCCCCGATGGACTAACGCTGGCCCCTGATGAACCATCACCAGCCCCTGATAGGTCTACAAAGCCCCCTGCTGGGTCCAAATTGGTCACTGATATGCCCAAATGGGCCACTGAGAAACCCGTACAACATCCCCTGACTGCACCTGCTGGACCAATGCCGTCCCCTCATGGGCCCACCACAGCTCTTGAATGACCTTTTCAAGTCCCCTGAAGTGCTTTTATTGGCCTAAATGGCCCCTGATTGACTTATGTGGTCCCTATTGGTCCTATATGGCCTCCATGAGCCCTCAGCGTCCCTAGACAGCCTTACATTATATTCCACTGGGCCCTGTTGGGTCAGCACCGGCCCCTGATAGGCTTGCACTGGACCCACCGGGCCTATACCGACCCATGAAGGGCCTATGTCGAGCCCTCATGGACCTCCGATGATCACACGCCGACATGTGTGGCCCCATCAGCAGTGGTCCGTCTATCCCATGTACTTACGGTCTTTTTGGCCGATGTGACACCGGTAGTATATAGAAATGTTATGATTAAATGTCGTGTTTACACAGTCAAAAGTCACAGAAAGAATATCCAAGCTCAAAAATGGCCTCAAACCCAACAAAAACTGGTATAAATCCCCTTCAAAAGCCGTAAGTCTATTAAACGCCAAAGGGGAATAGCTACAGTCCCCCGCAATTTCGTCACGAGCATCGGGCCAATCAGCGTCAAGTATTGCCGAACGCCGATTGGTCGATTTCCGCTAGCCTGTAAATGCTGCTTGCGGATATAGTTTTGAACAAGTGAGGGTCGCGGCTACTAATTATCGCTTGTCACCACTTTTTCGTCGGGAACGTTCTACCTGGTTTATATAGCCTTGGACAGATCTATGTTTATAGCATGCTACTAGCTAACATTATTAGGTGGTTGCTGAAAATGTTGCATTTACACTTGCATTTACAATTCCGACGTGCATTAATTTAGAAGGTCATTTTGATAATTGATATGGCTTTTAGGTTCCTAATTTTATTATCCTCCCAATCTGTGGCTCTGCTTCTGTTTCAAAGGCTACAGAACCAGACTTCAAAGCATGCAAGATCCTGTCTGTGCAGAGGCAATGTGCCAGTTGCCTCTTGCCAGTGCTACATGCTTGCGGAATTATAACAGAGTTGGGTCAGGTTGGAGCTTGCATGGAGAGGTGTTGGCCCTAGCGTATTAGGTTCCATGGGTTGGAGCCATGTGCAGAACTGTTGTGCTAGCGGGCTTTTTGTTGTCTATGAAATTGCCAATTGGTGTACAATGTACACAATGTACAATGTACATGTACAAGAGACAATGGTGTTGGGGTGGGGATAATTGGCCATGCAATATGCATTACTATATTTTGTATCCTAACCCCTGATATCTGTGAATTTTGTGGTAAAAATTAAATGTCTTGCTTGATGCCAGGTGTTGCCAATGTCCAGTCTCAGTGAGGGCAAGTTATGCAGATTTGGCACTAGCTGGTGTTGGGTTGGGTGCAGCTGGTAGATGGTAGACTATGTTGCAACATTTTGCAGTTTGGCAAACAAGCCCTTTTTGCTTACTAGCGCCAGGTTGGTGTACGTTACATTCAAAAGTCAGGCTTTGGCGTAGCTCATTTCCATGACAGCTGTTCTTGTTAGTTGTTATCATCACTGAGTCATTTCTGACCTTATCCGGATGTGGGCCCTGAATAGACCCGGTCTACCCAAGCCCACTAGTAAAACCTAAACCTAAACCTAATCAGTAAGCTGTGCCTGTGCCCATCAGTAAACTTTGTGCTGCCAATTTAATTCAAATAATGGTAGATGGTTGGGGTAGATCCCTTTTTATAAGATGAGATCTAGCATTTATATGTGCTGTTACCTATCTGTAGTTGTGCTTTTGACAGGAAATGTAATTGTATCCTTTGCTGGATTGGCTGTCTACAGGAGTTAAGCATATGGGTACCAATGATCATTGCAGTTTGGGTGCCCTAACCCCCAAATCATTATCATCAGAGTTGAGTGTGGCTGGTAAAATGGCTTTCATACCTCCCCATAAACCTAATGACAGCCTATTTGCTCTATTAAACATGACTATATGTTTAGGCATCACATGCAACAATGATAGAGCAACCAATGTTCGTTATTTGATGGACATGGTTAACCCGCGCCCCGTAGGGGGGCCGAAACGGCCCCCCTGTCCTTTTCCGTCGGTATCTCCTAAACGGCTGGACTTGGAGATATCGCCACTAAACTTTCAGGACCCCTCCGGGCATAAATTTTACACATTGTGACCAAAATTTTTCCAGAGACTATGATAGGTTGGCCACAAATGACGTCAGAATGACGTCATGTTCTGCCATTTTCGACCGAAAAAAGACCTTCGCGAGAAGAGCTCAGAGCTGTCAGGCCTACACCTTTGAGGATACAGAAAAATGATAAAGACTTAAAAGGTGTAGAATTGACAGGGCTACAAAACTGCTATCTCGAATTTTTGAAATTTTTGAGTTTTGACCCCCAAAAATAAAAAATGCGATGTTTTGGATATATTAGCCAAAAAATCCAAAAAAATTGAGTTTCGAAAAAAAAACGGAATATATGTGATAGTACCTACCGTTTTCTATCTATATACCAAATTTCAGATCGATATCTCGTTTTTTGGCCAAGTTTTAGCGAAAAAACTGTTCAAAAATGATGACGTAAAATATTCAAACTCAATTTTTGGCAATTCTAGACCACTTAGGGCAAAACAAAGACCACCATTGGACTCCCCGTGACGAGCTGCATCGAATCGATACCCATTTTATGCAAAAATATCAACTTATTTGACCTAATATGACCTTGACCTGACCTTCACCAAAACGTAACCTAAGCTGGCCCCAAAGGCTGCCTGACCCACATAATCGCATTTGTCATGTAAAATGGACCATAAAACATGCATCACACCGCACACGACACTTTCATATTGTGACCCCCCAGTGACCTGACGCTGTGACCTGACCTGGTATCAGTGACCTCAGATACCGAAGTATGTGTTTGACGAACAATGTACCATCGATGGTTTTCAATAACTTACCAATTTACTCGATTTCACAACACATTTCTTGAAATGCCTGCGAACGGTGAAAATCCGACCTTTGACCTGACCTGTGACGTCATCGGTTTGACCTAAGTCAATGAAATTTGGTCACAAGGTAGTTCCCCGGTGGGACTATCGAACGCCGTTCGAATTTTAAAAATCGGCCGGTAAATTTCCGAGATCTTAGGTGGGGGGGGGGGAGGCCGAAACGCCCCCCCCCCCCCACGGGTGGTAGGGTCCGCCGGTAGCCCTACGGGGCGCGGGTTAACTTAAAGGGAAAGATTTAATTGGCTTAACTAATTAAGTTAGTTGTCTATGGTTAGCCATTTGTTATACACTTTTCCTTATTTAACACATCCAATTCCTTTTACGCCTTCCAAACTTAGTCACAGTGATGCACACAGTAATGAACGTAGTAGGTAATGAGAGCTTAGACAACCACCAGCCACCTCAGGGCTTATTATATGTTACTAGTACAGATTTCGGTCAAGTTCAACTCATTCAAGTTGCATTGCTCTCAATATTTAAATTCTGCCAGTTTCCTCTCACTTGTTACCTAAAATTTTTCCTGAATATGATGAGCGTACTATGCTAGACATTTAAACAGTTAAACACTACATATCTAATTCAAATTTCAAGTGGAATATATCTTTCCCTCACTCCCCGCAGGCCGTAGGGGGGGGGGACGCACATTTGCCTGTTCTTTTCCGTAGAATTATCCTAAACTACTGCAGATATCTTCACCAAACATTCAGGAGAGACCCCTCCGAACATCAGTCTTACTGTGGCCAAAAAGTTTTGCAAAGGCTATGATAGGTTGGCCACACCCACAAGTGACGTTAGAATGACGTTATGTTCTACCATTTTCGACCCAACAAATGTTTCCTTGGAAGAGCTGTCAAGCCCACAGCTATGAAGATGCAGAAAAATGTTCAAAGCATAAAAGGTATAATCGCCAGGGCTACAAAACTGCTATCCCAGATTTTTTCATTTTTTCTTCAATTTTTGACCCCAAAATAAAAAGTATTCTTTTTATATAATTCCCTAAAAATCCCAAAAATTATCGAAATTTTGAGATCGATACCTCCTTTTTTTTGTTCAAGGTATGGCGAAAAAATATGTTAAAATTGATATCGGCAAGTCTTCAAACTCAATTTTTAGCCGTTCTGGACCACGTAGCGCAAAACAAAGACCACCGTTTGATTCCCCGTGACGAGCTGCATCGAATAGCCTGTAGACACCCTTTTTTATACAAAAATGTCACTTTTGAAATTTGACCTTTTTCTGACCTTGACCTGCCCTCCACCAGAACGTAACATATACTGTCACTGACCCTAACGGTCATCTAACCCGCATAATCGCATTTGCAATGTGAAACGCAGAAGCGGCGGAACACCTTCAATTAAGGGGGGGGGGGGCACTGCCGACTTTTGGTCCCATTCTTTCCATGCAACGTCCATAGGGCTAATGTTAAAATGCCAAAATCAAAGGGGGGCACGGTGCCCCGGTGCCCTCCCCGTTCCGCCGCCTATGGTGAAACGGACCATAAAACATGTATCACACGGCGGCCTACCTCGACATATTGTGAACCTCAGTGACCTGACCTCTGTCAGAGTTGTGGCGTGACCTGCTGTAGTGTCCTGTGTCAGTGACATTATGTAGTAAAATATGTGTTAGATCAACAATTATATATCGATGATTTTCAATAGCACGCCTTTAACTCGATTTTCCAACACATATATTTTGACAGTCAATACAAACAATGACAGTACAATAGCAATACAAATAAAATTAAGTGTCAGGTATTGGCCTGTAATGTGAGCACGTAAATGTTCACCCCCCTGATTCTAACTTATGTTTTCTGCTTTTCCAGGGGCAATATCTTGTTGGGTAAGCTTAATTTTTGTTGTTGATTGAAACTTTTATCAAACTTGAGCAATGGCCTCCGTCAAAGATATCACAGCTGAGCTGATGAAGAGTGACCTGTATGAAATGCTTGGCATAGAGCATACCGCTCAGGAAAGTGCTATCAAGAAGGCGTACAGAAAGGCAGCACTGAAATGCCATCCTGACAAAAATCCCGATGATCCGAAAGCTGCAGAGATGTTCATGAAGCTTTCAAAGGTTCTAGAGATACTGTGTGACGCAGATGCCAGGAAAACATACGATCATTTGTTAAAAGCCAGGCAGGCGGCTGCGCTTAGAAGTCGAGAATACGACAGTAAACGAAAAAAGCTTAAAGATGATCTTGAAGCTCGTGAGAGAGCAGCTGAAGTGAACAAAACAAACATACAACAGGATATGGAAAAGTTGCAGGCAGAAATTGAGCGGCTTAGGAAGCAGGGTTCCCGGCAGTTGGAGGAGGAGCAGGCGTTGATGCGGGAGCAGCTGCGGCGGGAGCGGGAAGAGCTGACTAGGGGGACACATGCCAAAGACGAAGCCGGAGACGACAGCTGTCGTCTGAAGGTCAAGTGGAAGCGAGCTCCAGCTGACGGGGTCGGCGAAGTTTACGATCAGGACAAGCTCACGGCCCTGTTCTCGAAGTACGGAGAAGTCGCCGCAGCAGTAGTGTCGAAGAAGAAGAGCAGCGCCTTGGTGGAGTTCTGCGACCCACAGGCTGCCTCCAGGGCTGCTCAGCTCGAGAAGGGCTCCGCAGAAAATCCCGTCACTGTGGAACTCGTTGGTCAGCGACGTGCTCAGGCGGCAGAGCCCGGGAGAGTGTCCGCAGCTCCAACGAGCGCTCCGCCGATGTCGAGGTCATCTTTCGACACATTCGAGAGTTTGGTGCTGCGGAACCTTCGTCAGGCGGAGGAACGTCGGAAACTGACTGAGGCGTTACAGAAAGAGGACTCATAATCGTGCATCATTGAATTTGCAACTCGTTTTTGTCATTTTTTGACATCGTGCAGTACCATGTGTGTATGGTGTTTCGTTGGAGATTTTGTTAATCATTTTCACATTTTCTTTAAAATATTTCCTGCTGCATTTGGGGGCATACGAGTATGTAGTTCATCATTCAGCTGACGTAACGATAGTTACCAATGTATTTCACAACCACATGACTGTCGTGTATAAATGTCTCCCATCCCAGGTGTTCCATATTCAGGCACGGTGGCGTCGTTACCGACACCACTGTCCGTCTGAGATACGCTGACGGCGCCGATCGTGTTTGGCTGTGCTGTGTCCAATACCGCTCCGTCTGGACATTATGGTGGACATTGGCGGCCGGCGGGCCGCCGTGCCATCTGCAGCGCAGGCGTCATTTGTATGCATTTGCGTCCGCAGAGCGATAGTTTTAATGGCACTTGGTCAGGCCACAAACGCCGCCCGCCCGCAGCTGGGATACGAATCGCTCCCATATGGTGGCCGCGGAGAGGGAACTATGTCCGCGGGCCGCGCCTGTTGCTATCGCAGGGCTCCCCCGTGGTTGGCGTCAGGCGTGGACTGTTTTCTAATGTTGTGCCCATGTGTATGATTGTGCGAGAGCTGTGCAGCAATATAGTCATGAACTGTTCTCTGTTCGTGGAAGGCTTGACTGTGCCGTGGAAAACATGCGGGTAGCATTCAGCGGCAGGGAAGGCCGGTGGTATGCGACTCTGCTCAACGTCTGTGTTCTCAAGGCTGACAGGCTCTGCCCGGCGGGAGTGTTTGCTTGCTGCCAGCTAGCGATGGCGTCGGTGCGCTGCACCTGACAGGAACGTGTTGACGTCTGACCTCGTCACACCACCCGACCTGTTGACAGACCGACATGATCCGACACATTGACGGATATGGGGCGAGTGGGAGCTAACTGCGCGCTAATTGAAGTAGGGGAGAGTGGGGCACATTCGTGGAAAAAAATGGATAAATCCGTATATCTGTTCTTTGGTTGGTGCCATAAGCGGCGGAACGGGGAGGGCACTGGGGCACCGTGCCCCTCTTTGCTTTTGGCATTTTAACATTAGCCCTATGGGCGATGCATGGAAAGAATGGGACCAAAAGTCGGCAGTGCCCCCCTCACCTAATTGAAGGTGTTCCGCCGCTACTGGTTGGTGCAATGGCAAAATTGTTGATTGCAGTAGGTATGGAAAGGAACTATTGCAGATAAAGTTATCCTCTAAAATTATCGCTTCTATAAGGAAACATGACTTTTGATAACAATGAATGTTTGCAAGAACCTGCCCCTGGGGCACATACATTCGTGCAAGGGGTGGGGCACTTCCGTGCACCCTGCACAATTTGAGGAATTGCCGGGCATTATCAGAAATTTACCAAAAAGAAATTGGCAGGGGGTCATTTCACTTGATTTCCTTCGACAAGAATGCATTGTGTTACGCCGCTAGTATCCGCGGCTGAGTTCGTTCCAGCTTCCGGGTCCGCGATCTCGGTCCGCGATCTCACACAGCGTTCTGAATAACGTAGTCCTGTATTGGTGATCGGTATCCGGCGGGGGCCGCTGCCCGACTGCTGCACGGCCGCACCGTGCCCACGAGCGCAGCGAGCTCAGCGCCACCTAGTCTACTGCACAAAGTTCAGAGGGCAAGGGCTACGTCACCACACACTACCCCCCTCAACAGGAATGACAGTCGTGGCGAAGCAGACAACACAAAAACTGGCCGAAATAAGACTAAACATCCGTCTAAAACTATTTCAAAGCAAAGCCAGTCGCTTCGAACACGACTTTGTGTCGCCGTCACATTTCGGCTATGAGGCGACGCGGCTGCTTCCGCTGCCTGACGGAAACACGCTGAGCGATGCCCCCAGTTGCTGATCCAGCTCCTGTTCCTGTCGCCGATGAGGTCGCACCGCCACCTCTGCTGACCTCCTCCTCGGCACCAGCGTCGCCGCCTGCAGCTACCTGCGCTTCCTCGGAGCTGTCACCGGTAGCGGTAGCAGGTGCTGTCACAGCATCATTGCCCGTCGCCCCCGGCCTGTCTTTGGCCGGTGACCTGACCGTCGTTTCCGACCCGCCGGTCACACCTGTCCCAACGATGACCCCCGGTCTGATGGTCACCGGTGGTTCGCCAATCCCTGTGGGTGCCACCGGAACCTGTCCAGTACGGTTCGGTGCTGCCACCGTCGGCTGCCGGCTGATTTCCTCCGCGCCATCGGGCGCTGCAGCAGCCTGTTGGGTGCACGCCAGACGCAGCTGGTCGGCGTGCCGCGACCAGATCGCGCTCCCCACGTCCACTTCGAACGACAGCGGGCCCGTCCGGGCGGTGATGACGCCCCGCCGCCACTTGGACGGTCCACCGTAGGCCCGTGTCCAGACGTGGTCTCCGATCGAGAACTGCCTGTTGTGACCTGGCCTACCGGCCTGCCACTGGCGAAGTTTTTCCTCGCGCTGCCGCACATGCACATCCGGCTTTAGGAGGTCCAGGTTGGTTCGCACGTTCCGTCCCAACATCATTTCCGCTGGAGACCTCCCCGTGGTCGCGTGTGGCGCCACCCGGTATGCCAGCAAGAACCGCTGGAGGCGCTGAGAAAGCGTTCCTCCGTCCTTGAGTGCAGCTTTCAAGCCATTCTTTACGGTTTGAACTGCGCGCTCCGCCGCCCCGTTGCTACTGGGATGCCACGGCGCTGTCCTGATGTGCCGAATCCCATTCGAGTTCAGGAACTGGGAGAACGCAGTGGCGGTCAGCTGGGGTCCATTGTCGCTGACCACCTGGACCGGCAATCCAAACCTGGCGAACATTTCGCGCAGAACACGCACCGTGCTTTCCGTGCTGGTCTCACGCATCGGCACTGCCTCCACCCAGCGCGAGTAGCTGTCATACACTATCAAAAAGAAAGAGCCCTGGAAAGGTCCAGCGAAGTCGATGTGAACCCTGAACCAGCAGCTGTCCGTCGGTTCCCAAGGGTGTAGTTCAGCACGCGGTGGTGCCCCGCGCTTTTCCATGCAAGCCGCGCAGTCACGCGCCAGGGCCTCCAGCTCGGCGTCCATGCCCGGCCACCATACGTATCGGCGCGCCACACCTTTCATTTTGGCGCTGCCCAGGTGACCTTGGTGCAGCTCTGCCAGCACCTGTTGCCGAAGGCAGTGGGGAACCACCGTCCTGCCACCCCAGAGCAGACATCCCAGGTCCGTGGAGAGCTCATCCCGCCTCTGACGGAACGGGGCCAGCTCCTGCTCCACCTGTCCGGGCCACCCACTGTGCACGTACGTCAGGACGCGCGACAGTACCCGATCGCGGCGTGTCGCCGCCGCGAGTTGTTTGGCCGTCAGAACTGGAGCTACACCGTCCATGAACAGCAGATACGAGCCGCCGCTGGTGTCGTCCTCAGCGTCCGCTGGCTCGACCTCTCCGCCTGGCACTGCCATACGAGACATACTGTCCGCCAGGTGCATGTCTTCTGATGGACGTAGCTCCACATCGTAGGTGAAAGCCGCGAGCTGCAGCGCATACCGCTGTAGCCTGGCCGCAGCCAGCGTTGGCAGCTCACGCTCCGGACTCAAGATGCGCGACAGCGCCCTGTTGTCCGTGACCAGGGTCCACCTCCGGCCGTAGAGAAACTGACCGAAACGCTTGACGGCGAAAGACACCGCCAGCGCCTCTTTCTCTACCATCGGATACTTCCTCTCCGTTTTTGTGAGTGTCCGAGAGGCGTACATCACCGGACGTTCCAGTCCTTCCTCGTCAGGCTGCAGAAGCACGGCTCCCACGCCGACTTCACTGCTATCTGTGACGAGCTTGAGCGGCGACTCTGCATCGTACCGCTTTAGGACTGTGTCCCCTGCCAGCAGTTTTCGCACTCTGACCAGTGCGTTTTTGTGCACATTCGTCCATTTCCACGTGGCGCCCTTCTGTAAGAGCTCGTACAGCGGCGCTAGTTCCGTGGAGAGGTTGGGAAGCACGCGCTGGTAGTAGTTGATGCTCCCCAAGATGCTGCGCAGACTTTTCACATCCTTAGGGTCCGGCATGTCGATCACTGCGTCAACTTTCTCCTTTACTGGACGCAGCCCCTGTGCTGAGATGCGCCAGCCGAGGTACTGCACCTCGTCGAGTCCAAGTTGACACTTCTCCCGTTTCAGCTTCACTCCATGAGCTTCCAGCCGAGTTAGCACTTCATCCCAGCGCTCGCACAGGTCCGTCATGTTCGCCGCCGTCACCAGCAGATCGTCTTGATAGGCCACACACCCGTCTATGCCATCCAGGATGTGATCGATTGCGGCCTGAAACACCGAACTGCACGCCGATATGCCGAACGGTAGGGATTTCATCCGATACCGTCCTCGGTGCGTGACGACTGTTGTCATATCCCGCGATTCCTCCGCGAGCTCCAGCTGCAGGAAGGCGTCTATCAGGTCCAGTTTGCAGAACCGCCGTCCTCGGACGCTCGCAAAGATGTCCTCGGCGGATGGCGTAGGATGCGTCGCCATTTGCAGCTGCGGGTTTACCGTCAGTCGATAATCACCGCACAGACGCACACCGCCATCAGCCCGTGGCACCGTCACCAGTGGTGTTCCCCAGCCGGGCGCGTCGTTTGGACCGACTTTTTCCGCGATCCCGGCCTGCACCCAGCGGTCGAGCTCCTGCTCGACGGCCGGTTTCAGTGCATATGGAGGCGAGCGCACCGGCCGTGACACCGGCCGTGCATCCGGTTTCAGTGTCAGGTGCGCCTTTACTCCACTGATGCGCCCCGGTGTGCCGTCAAACACCGACTTGTGCCTGTTACAGACCGCCTCCAGATCCGCCGTCCCTCGGTCCGGAGTGACGTCCATCACCGCCGTCTCTCCGCCGCCCACACTGATGTCCAGAGCCCGCAGCCAGTCGCGGCCTAGCAGACGGCGATCGCCAGGCAGGTCCACCACGACCAGTCGCAGTCGATGGTCCCGACCGCGAAACCTTACAGAGACGTCTGCCTCACCCCGGAGAGGGATCCGGTGACCAGTGAATGACGACAGCTGTAGCTGAGTAGGTTTCAATCGCAGCCGCGGGATGACCGTGTCCCGCCCCACAGCAGTGATAGGGCTGCCGGTGTCCACCACCATTTTGATGGCCACCCCGTTCACCGGTAAAGTCATTTTAACCGCCTCCGTTAGGTTAACAGCGTTTATCTGCCCCAGCCCCCACATGTCCGCCGTGGCAGGCTGCTGTCGGCATTGACTGCGCAGATGTCCGATCTGCTTGCAGCGGTAGCACCGCCGCGTCTCCGGTGCCGGTCTGACCCCGTCGGATCCACGAGTGTCAGATTCCCGGCGCCCCGGCCCCGTCGGCCGCCGTGACGCTGGTGCCGCACGCGCTGACTCATCCGGGCGTCGGCTCTCCTGACAGTCCCGCTGAAAATGTCCCGCCGCACCGCAGCGGTAGCAGCGGACCGTGCGCCGCTGGCGGTTCCGGTTACCGTCAGCCGTGCGCTGTGGCCGGACAGCGTTCAGCTGATCCGGTCCCGAGGTCACCACATCGACCTCTGGCCGCTCGTCCAATGCGGTAGTTGACCGTCCGACGCCGTCCGTGCTCAGAGACGCGTTACGGAACTGCGTCACTAGCATTTGCGTTTGCTCGTATGCACGAGCCGTAGCCTGCAGATCTT